TTTTTTTTTTTTTTTGATAACTGTTGTTTATCCGCTTTTTTAATCTTTATCCTGGCAACAAAAGATGGAATTGATGAAACTGGGAAGGGAAATGACAATCTCGAAATGGTCAGAAGAAGAAGTTGTTGTTATTATTATTAGTATTTGTTTGTTTGACTGAGTGCTGCTGTTTGTGTTTATTTATTCTAGAAGAATTTATTTTTGGTGAATTGTAAATAATGACAGCATTCATATCTGCTCAACTTTTTTCTTTTTTTTTTTTTCTTTATATAACTATTTATCGTATTATGGCAGATGCTTTAACATCTTTAGATGAAGGTGGATTGATTGGCAGTTTTTCTGGTGATATAAATTCTTTTTATTTCCACAGATTTTTGTTGCAACTTCCCATCGATAGACTGTTTGATCGGTGCTGCTGTATTGTTGCAAATTTTGTCTTTTTGATTCATCAATTTTAGTATTGATTTATTGCTAAGATTAAATGAATTTTTATGAAGAATTTTATAGTGCTTTTTCTTTTCAATAACCTTTATCCTGCATAATTTTTTGCTCACTAATTAATTGTGGAAGTATACGTTATAACAATTACAGCAGTATTTCAAAATTATGGTTTATCTTATGCTGTAAGCTCTTTTCAAATGAAATATTTTCTTCAAATTTAAATATTATAAAAAATGGATCAAATTAAATTGCAGAATCAGTGTAATATCGTTTCTGAATTACTGTAAATGAATATCTTGAGTAGAAAGTTAGGTGAGCGGAGTTGTAGTTATTTGAGGAGCCAAAATGAGTAAATTTTATAGATGGATTTATGGTTTTGCTGTTTGTATAATTTGATTTAGTTTGCTTAAACTATCAAAAGTGAATGTTGTTTAGTTTCAGCGAGTTTACTGACCGATTAGTTGCAGCTTAGTTGTTAAGACAGCTCAACAAGTCTAATAAGTTTTTGTTAGATTGTCAAATAAAGCTGTTTCTTTGATGATGTTCAGTAGCAGATGATCTTTTTTTTTTTTTTGTTTCTCTAAACAGAAGAAGAAAAAATTTGGCTTTCTATTATGAGAAATTATTTTTTTGTTTATCTTATTTTCTCTACAGCATTCAGCTATTGACGGCCAAAAAAATAAGTATATTTAAGTAAATGATCGGTTTTTTTTTTATTTGTATCACTGTTCTAAACCACTGAAAGTTTGTTGTATGATTTGTACAAAACTGATTGTTGTTGAAAAGCACATTTTGAGAAGTAGAAAAAAATTTTTTTAGATTTTTATTTAATCAATGGTTTTAGAGGAATTGTCGTTTTTAAGGTTGCCAAGAAATTATACCATATTTTAATCTGTCATTTTATTCAGTTTTCAACATTTCTATTGTAATCATCTGCAGCAGTTGTCGTCGAATTCTTGATGTTGACAATTGCTGTTGTAACAGTGCTTTAAATCAGATCCAGAAATCTTGAGCTCCACGACAAGAAAGAATTAAAATTTTTATTAAATTTCTGGTTTTTAGAATTGCTTAGTGGAAACTATATTTCAATACGTTATTGCTTTTAGTGGTTTTCCTTCTTCTTTTTTTTTTCCTGTAAAAGTCATTTTATTTTCTTTATCTATGAAATATTGGCTGCTATATC